ATTAGAATCTGGAATTAGAATTATATGTTTAGAATTAATTAAAGCATTATATGGAGGCAAAGTGATATGGAAAAAGATTTGCTCGACAAGAGATTTCACATCTACTAGCATTTCTAATTCTAATTTAACATTAAATATCGATTTACTTATTAAAAAATGGCACAGCCATATGTTTCTCTACGAAGTTTCCTTTCAATAGAGCTTTTGCAGATACGTTTCCACCGCGAATATATATATATATATATATATATTTCGTTGTAACGTCCACGAATTAATTATGAATCACATTGTACTTCACGACCGTGCGAAGCGAGTTAACGTGAGTTAGTTTCCAGGTTTATCTGTACTGTAATTTTCCTGTAAAGCAACGATTGTTATGGCTCTGTATTTACGTATGTGCGAACGTGACGAAGTAATACGAGAGGCCATACCTTACAGCGGAGAAATGTCTCTCTTGATGACGGAAACGGATAAGAATGATAATATAGGTAAGTGAATAATTTAAGAGATGCAGCGAGACATTTTTCGCGAATCTATAATGTACCATTCATCATGGTATGCAAGATTAAATATGAATGGAGCAAATCAAAGACATACAGCGGGAAATAATATTTATCCGTTAATCGAGAGGGATGTGATTCGTAGAATCAAACGGAAAAATCCATGTATCCTGAAACGGGTATAAAAAAATTACATGTGAAAATGTAGAACAAGAAAAGTACATATATACTATTTTGCAAACGAAGAATCGTTTCAAAGAATCTTTCTCCATAAAAAAACTAGAAAGAAAGATTCTTAACAGGACGAAGAAATATTGTGTAACTTAGAAAAATCGTTTGAAGTTTAGACAATAGAAGAAGATAAGCGTCTTATTTGAAAAGCATGATTGACGTAATAATTTTGAATTTTATTTCAGCTATTTTTCGCGGATATGCGAATTTTCAGATATTCGATAAACGTATGACAGAAATTTTTTTACGTCAATAATACATAGAGTAATCAATAAGCTGCAAACTGTGGCATATCCACTAATTCGTTCAAAATTAAAATTTAGAAATTCGAGTTGACAAAAGAAAATTTCAAATCAGTTTAAATAAGTATAAAAATTACTAATGAATAAATAACTGCTTAATACTGAGATTTTAAGAATATATCTGCAAATTTTACTTTTATTTTTTTTTTTCGTGTAAAAAAATCAACTTTTTTATAAATTAAGTAAATAATAAAATAAATTTATCTTTTATATGAATAATTTTTACTATATAATAAATCAGTTTATTGTGGTACAAAAAAAAAACTTGTTAAACCTATCTCTTTTTTTCTGTTCCTCTCTTTTTCTCTTTCTTTCTCCTTCTCTGCTTCCGAAAGATCTCAAATTCAACAGTGCCGATTACTGTAATTTACTTGCCAATCCACAGATGCGCTTTTGTTAAAGCTTTTCCTTTTTTAAAAATCATCCTGGTATAATCTGCAGCCGAACTTCTCGGAAAGCTTTTGGACATAACGTATGATTGCCGAACGTAACATGCGATCATCGTTAGCACATTAAATCACACATATGATTGCGTGACAGATATTTTTGGAAATTGCCGTAAATTCTATATTTTTATCATATTATTCTTTTTCCTTTATTATTTCCTTTTATCAAAAATGTACATGATATACATCAAATTAATATAATTCTATTTTTTTTTTAAAGACTTTTCCACAAATGTGGACTCAAAATCATTACTTAAAAATATTATAAAATTATGAAATATTATATTTACATAAACATTTATTTATTAAAAGATCTCACTACAAAATATTCAAAGCTTAAAAGTTATATGTGAATTTAAAGAAAAATTTAATTATTTGATGTAAGCAATATTTTATTAAAATTATATACGTATATAAAATAAAAGGATTTAAAAATTATTTTTATTCCATTTTGTATTCCGCGAAATGCCAGTCTCTGGCGTTCAATCCCGCGCACTTTTTAAAGATACACCTGCATATAAAGTATCAAATGTTACCGAGCCTCGGGCATTGCGCTTGTGGTCTTCAGGAAAAACTTGTCCGACTGGTCATGCGTAAAATACATCGAGTCTATTGACATGAGGGCCAAACAGGAGCCAAGCACTTGGAAGAGCACGAGATTGCGGTGAAACGCATAAACCTTTAATAAAATTGTCTTTTTTGCGATAACATCACAGCGCGAAATTTACATAACACGAACACCACATGTCAACTTCCTGTTTTAATAAAAAAAAAAAAAAAAAAAACCAGCTTCACATTTTATATATTAGTAAGTAATATCTGACATATACGTTAAATGAGACTTGTTGTTTATATTAGCCGCCAAACAAAGGTTCACAAGATTATAGCTCGATACGGATTTAATTCGCGTGCTATGTATGAAAGTGCGAACGAAAAAATGCGTAATAGTACGTTATGGCAAACTAATCGCAACTGATTATATGACAAACACGGAAAGGAAACACTGTCACGGCATAGCTGGCTTCGACTAAAAACGCACGGCCGCTCAACTATCTGTGCGAAACAGGTCAAACAGGTGTGACAGAAGGCCTAGTAGGTGCGTGTGTGCTACATTTAAATAAATATCTATCTCAGTCCCAAGATAACCTTTCATGCGAGTCGACAGTTCGATGACAGACTGACCCAACACGCATCTCTTCTACGCCTCTACACACTTGTCAATCAAATATAAACACTATTTTATTAATATATTCATATTATAATATAATATTATTATGTACATATTATAATATATGTAGACATCAATAAGGTTAATTAAAAAAATGTCTTTTAATTTATCACAATATTTCTGATATGAATTTATTAATATTTAAGAATGAAAATAAGAAAAAAAAAGAAAAATATATATATATATATATATATTTGAAATGAATAAGTGATAAAGTATAAACAATAAGATATGCATTTGACAATAATTGATAATTAATTTACTGCATATTTATATGTAGTTGTTCGTGATATATAAATTACAATTTGTTGTAACTAAAATAGACTTTTGATTGCAAACTTGAAAAAAGGTTTTTACTTAAATTAAATAAATTTTTATTGTGTGCAATAATATCTCATATAAAAAATATAAGCGGAATGTGTCAATTGTAATTATACAATATTTATTTTATAAAAATGTTAATATAAATCCACGCGTCAGACGATATAGAACGACACAAAAGTTTATTTTACAACAAGATAAAGAGGATAAAAATAAGCGCAATCAAATAAAGATAATTTAATGTCAAATGTTCGATTTGTATCGTTTGAATGTTTAGACGAAATGCTGTGATATAATTTACTTTTTATTAGACCACTCGTTTCTTCGACTGTACGACTACTTTACACCTTCGAGGCCACCAATGGAATGCTGTTACTCAGCGATGATAATACAGTTCGCTGATTATCGTGGAGCTCGAAACCTCTCAGGGTCGCTTAAGTTACGTCGTAATAATGCCCAAGCGGCGAACCGGTTGCGATCCCGGGCCCTAAGGCCCTGCCACTTATTTGGCCCCGAGACTGCCCTCCATCACTAACCCGATCCCGAAGCAGACGAAAATAAGAAGAAAAGAGCGAAAAGGAAACCCACAAAAATTAATCACGCGTTCGCTCGCACCTGGTCCTGGAGGATAAAAACATGTAGTCAAACTGGCAACCGAAGAGGGAAGAAAAACCCCCCTTCACCGCAAAGAGAAATTCCAACAATTTTTATAGACGCCACCTCTGGCAAGAGTAATCTATTCGCACAAAGGAAAGGAACGAAATAATCATCATTGCGTAAATATCGCTACACACGCAATGGGTATTTAAATAAATGCAGCGTGCCGCATGTAAATTTCGCTTAAAGAATTAGTTAACATCGATTATTGTTGCAATGCGGCTCGCATGCTACTCGGAGCTTAAATTAGTGTTAACATACAATGCCGTAAATATTGCCGTGCCGATCCGCCCTCGCAATTTTTAATTCGTTCCACTCCCCCGATGACAATGGACGCCACGGCGTTTCTGCTCTCTCTCTCCTTTCGATAATACGATAATTCGATTGTATCGCATAGAGCACTCAATACCACGGTCGCGCTCCATTTTCAAGAAGATACAGCACCCCCTCCCCCCTCCCCGTTGTGCCAAGGGAGTTGGACTTATAAATCTAACGATAAATCTATCGCCAGCAAAAGCTGACCGATATCGTACGTGGCCGGTTGCCAGAGACCCCCGCAAATCTTGTATTATACGACATAGTCGCGTGCGGGACATTCTCTCGTTCCTCCTCATTTCGCATAGCACTGCGTGCTATGCCAACCATCATGGTTCGACCTCTCATCTCTTCTCTTTTCCGAATGAGCGAGCCGTAAGAAGCACGATTTATTCCAGCAACATCATTTTTTTTCTGTTTGGCCACTTCGTCGTTACTCGCGGCCAGAAAACGGAGCCCTTCGAGCGAATCCTCGAAGGCCGGGCGCTTCCTTCTCGTAAATAAGAAAGTCCAATAAATTCCCTGTAAGATGAACTCGACGCACTTTTATGTTTACTTTCATATTTTGTCATGTTCATATTTTATGCTAATGGTTAAATTCTATAGCAATCCGTTATTAACAAAAATTAAAAAAGATTGTACACGTACATATTTATCGAATAAATTGCATCTATCAAATAAATCTCAATTTAATTTCCTCTATGCAATCAACAAAGCTTAATTCAATCTTGGTGATATATAGTACTACTCTCATTAATTTTTCTTAAAATAGCAAATTCATTCCTGAGTTACAAACAATTCATGTCGATCGTATATCATTGCTGTACGCCCAGCTCGTATGCCATTAAAGATCCACTCTATTAAATGGAACATTTGCGTGTCAACAAATTATATAACACTGTTAGTTACTCGATGACGTCCGCCTATGGTACCGCAGGGCGTCACAATCCCATAGGGAAAAAAAAGTAGGTGGTGATCCTGTAAATTATCATCCAGTAGCAGTCAGTGATGTGTGTGTAGGCCGTCGAAGTAACATATGCTGCAGCGCAATTTGTCGTTAATTTCTCTCATATTCTTTTTTTTTTTTTTGCGGTTACAAAATACAATTTCGATGAAACCTATTATCATAAACACCAAGGTTCGAGGAAAGTGTTGAAGCTAAGTTCTGATAGACGTGTACATAAAATTCTCCAAAGTGTTAATAAGAGATACGAATTGTCAAACGGCTAATTGAAAAATCTTGAACGGAAATAACGCACAATGTCCATAACAACGTCCGACAACAACGAACACGATGTAAAAATGATAGAAAGTCCATTTCCACGTCATTTTCATTTTCAAACGGAAGATACCGTAACAACGAGCTTTACTAAGATGAATATCATTACACCGGTCATTTCCAAGCCTGCGCGTAATATCATGGATCTCATAATGCTCGTGACAGGTGCTAGTCTAAATGTTTTCCTTGGTCTCTCCATTACGTTAAATTCCATCATGCACACTTCTAGTAACTGCTACGTAATGAGTTTGATGTTTTCAAACTTCGTGGTCCTGCTCGAACCGCTTAAGCAAGTATTCGACTGGATTTTCGACATTCATCTCGAGATGAATCTCGACTACGTATTCATGATGAGCTTCTCCACATCTGTCTTGATAATAATTCTGCTGAATGTCGAGACGTACGTTGTCATTTGTCAGAAAAATTCGCCTCTTCGCAATACGCTCCTAAAGATTTCGACAGCTATAAAAGGTGTCTCATTCATATGGATCTTATGCATTATGCTGATAGCCATGGAATTACATTTGTACGAACATTTTCAAAAGGAAATTATCCACGACATTTACATCTCTTCTAGTGTTATGTTCTTAATATTTCCAAGCTTTATCTTAATTTTGCTCAATTATTTCACTTTGTATGACCTGATAATATCGAAATCGATAATCGGAGCATGGCCAAGCGAAGACATCAAACGCTTCATTTTTTTGGGTAAATGGAAATTTTTATTTCAATATTAATGTAAATATAAGATTATTTAAGTATCTATAGATTCTTTTATATTTATTTTAGTTGGTGTTAATGTTGGATTTTTTCTAACTATGGTACCATATCGGATTGTAAGAATTATCATCTTTATAACGCAATCTTATAACGATATGGCGATAGAAATAACTTATATAATGATTAAAATGCATCCAATTATCCTACCAATAATATGTTTTATAACATTCAAGAGGACTCGTCAAACATTCAAGGGTTTGTAATGCAAATATATTAAGATATGTTGCAAATATATATTATAAAATTTAGAATAATTTTTTAAATATTTTAAATATTATTAAAATTTTCACTGTAAGATAAATGATATTCAGACACGTGATAAAATATTAAAGTATCTATTATAAGATTGAGTAATTTTTATATTTCAGATAATGATGCGTTGTCAACAGCATGAAATATTCGACGTAACGTAAAAGATATCCGGACATGTTATATCAAAGTGTTTTAACGCATATATTTCACTGGAATAATTTACTTAATACTTAAACAATTTAATCTTGTAATCTTATTGCACTTTCTGCGAATTTATTTAATACATATGTGATATTTTTAAATAATTTATTATTTAAAGTTAAGAGAAAGTTTGAGATTCGTATATGCGATAAGCAAGCTTTCATAATCTCCTCTTATAAAAAAGAAAAGATATGATATATACAATATGTACATAACTTTTCAAAATTATTGAATATTATATGTGTAAATTAGATTTCTTTTAAAAAAGTCTTCTTTAAAATTCAAATCAACATCATACTTATGAAGCCACTTGTACCGAGAAGAAAATATATGTATTTTTACAAATTATAACAGATATTATTTAAACATCTTTCTATCCTCTTCTATTTTTAGAAGGAATTGAGAAAAATGAAAAGAAGGTTAGTGAACGAAGGTAAGAAACTGATATAAGCTGGTAAGGCAAACAGAGAGTAGCATAGCAAAATCGAGATCAGATATAAGTGACGGGTTGAGTCAAAAAAAGGTAGAAAAATTAAAAAGATGGGTTACAGAAAAAGGTAGAGAAGAAAAAAAAGATAATACTGTTGTAAAAGGAATAAGATTGTCGAAGGAAAAAGTAGAGAACATGAAAGAAAGTAGTGAACGGGCACAGAATTTTATTAAAAAGAGGATAGGAGTCGAATGTAAAGTGAATAATTGTTGGAATAGTGAGACGGTGACAATAGTAAAACTAGAATATGAGGAAGGAAAGAGGGAGGTCGTGAGGTATAAGCATAGGTTAAAGAGAGATAGAATATTTATTAAAAACGATTTACGTTGAGAAGAGAGAAAAGTGCAAGAAAGAATTAGTAATTCGATAAAAGAAAGAAAGGGGAAAGGAACAGACATAAAGATAGGAAGATAGTTAAGATAGATGGTCTATGATCTAGCTATGGAAGGCTTGGTCTGAGATAGAAAGAGAGGCAGAGAATAATAAGAAGGATAGGGGACAAGAAGGGAAAGAATTGTAGATAATCGAGAAAAAGAGTAAAAGCAAGATATAGTAAGATTATAAGATTGTTAGATGGTAAGATTATAAGATTGCAAGATAGGAGAAAAGAAGCTTAAATCTAGAAGACCTAAAAAATGGAGACAGAAGAGGACTAAGGAAGAAGAAGGAGAGGAGAGAAGAGGAACAGGATAAGAACAGAGGAGAAGAAACTTTTTCACTGAAGCAAAAATAGAACAGGAAAGTTGACCGAAAGATAAGAAAAAAAAGGAAAGAAGAAAGTTTAGAAAGTAGATGATGAGAAGGAGGAGGAAAAGGAAGACAGAAGGGAAGGAGGAAGTGAAGAAATAAATGGAGATAATAATGAAAGGTAATAGCAGTAAAGAAGAATATGAAAGGGGATAAGACACAGCATATTGGCATAATAAGAAAGGTGCAAGAAAAAAGAGGAAAATAAGAAAGATCTAAAAAGAGAAGGAGATAGAGGAGGTGGATAGAGGAGGGAAAGGACAGAAGAAAGAGATACAGAAATACGTAGAAAAAGGAAGAACAAAAGAGGAATCAAGTGTGAGAAAGAAAAAAGAAAAAGGAGAAGAAGGAAAGGAAGAAAGAATGACACTAGTTGGTAAAATAGAAAAGGCATGGAGAAGAAGAGAAAATAAGGAGGACCCACAGGAGAAGAGGACAAGGAAAGTTAAATGAAGGGAGATATTAAAAGAAAGGAGGAACATAGGAGAAATTAAATAAGAGAAACGAAAGGAGAAAGGAAAAGGTAAAGAAGGAAAAGGAGATAAAGATTTAAAGGAGAGAGAAGAATTTGATTTAATCTCTCTCTAACTGCTCATGTAATTCTCTTTTCATCAATCTCAATCTCATCCTTATCTTCTCTCTCATATCCTACTCTAAACCTCACTCTTTTATTTCCTCCCTTTTCCTTTTCTTTTTCCTCTAACACTATTTTTGTCTATTTTCCTTCCTTTAATTTTTTTATCCTACTTACTTCCTATTTTATCCGTCTCTTTTTCCACCATAATCTCATTTCCTTGTGCCTGTCCTAAAACCTCTTATTTCTCGCTTATTTTTCTTTATCCCTCTTTGCCTTCACTTACTCTGCTTCTATTCGCTCTAATCTCTCCTTTTCGCCTACTAAGTCTTACTTTTTCTCTTTATCAACAAAACATTCATCGCTTTGTCCGCTCACTCTTTCGCACGTCCGCACATATTCATAGCCCCTAATCAAGTCCAAATTGTAAAATATAAATTTCATTTAAAGCAATAATAAATTAATTTTTAAAAACGTTTGCTTAAAATCTACTTAAACTGTTATCTGCTTATATCACATTCAAAAGGCACTTCTCTGAATTAAGATTACATTCGGGTAAAAGATACGCTTAAAAAAAAAAAAGAAACTGTTGTACCAAGTTAAAAAATAGAATCTAATTGGCAATATCTTTTATTTTAAAGAAATGGAATCTAAGTAATACGTATCTTGATACCCGAGACACTATCGTGTCTCCTGATTTCCTTAAATCTATTCAGCTGTAACGCGGCACTTCCTTTCTAAGAAGAGAAGTCGGCGTTTACCGTGGATAAAACTGAGTTTATAACTACCAAGCAGTTTGTCTGTCTGTCTCCTCGCGATTAGGAATTCCTCTTGCGACTCGCGACTTTCGTATTCCTTCCCTCGATTGAAATCGTTATGAATAACAAAATCCAAACAAGGAACATATCTATATTCAAATTGCAAGATTGCCGGTAAAAATCTATTCATACTTAAACATTTATAACATTTTTCTTGTAAATTATTCTTTATAAACAATATCTTAAATAGAATTTTATATCTAACTATATTTTTGTGACATCACAGAAGAATCATACTAAGAAAGAAAAGAAAATTAATAAAACTTTTGGTTAACTTTTTCTTTTAATTATTTTATTTTACTATTTAATTATTTTATTTTATTTTCAAAACACACTAAAAAATTATAAAAAGCAGAATAATTGTTTTAAAAATTTTTATAAACATTTTTAATTTTTATAAACATTTTTTACAAAATTAAGAATATAAATATTTGTAAGAAGATATTTAATAAAGAAGATATTTGTAAGAAAAATGTACTTTTATTATGCATGAAAATATAAAATTACCATTATATGTATGTTGTCGTTGCAGAGAGAAGAGGAAGATTAGGAAACCAAAGAACTAGGAAATCGATGAAGTAGAACGCTTAGACTTCTAATTCAAAGAATGAACTAAGTTTGTCTCTGCAAATACATGTATTTCTGTAGGAATTAAATTTTATAGACTTTAACTTTTACTTTTTATAATAAAAGAGTAATATGTATAATTAGTTATAAAAGACATTATAAATATTAGGTTAATCATATTAATATATTCGAAATTGCTTGGAAAATATATATTCGAATAAAAAATATATACCAAAATACGTATTCCGTATTAAATTATTATATTGTATAACGCAACTTTTTGCTATAAAAAAATCTAATTAGATTGTAGAGTAAAAAAAAAAAACTAAATAATATAACATGAAAAATTTCATCTCATTTATTTGCATTATTTTTGTAAATTAATTAAGTAATGCTATTTGTTGTACATACATTTGTTGTATAATATAATAGATTCTCTTCGTTAACATGGGACAAAGAAAGTCTTGTCCCATGTTAATGCCAATTTGTAACTTTCTCCATTATTACTTTACACAGTTTCCGCGAGACACTAGAATTTTATATATGTTAATCTTCTCTTTATAATTCAATTTAAATGATATAAAATCAGGAAACATTATTTCATATAATAGAAAGAATATTAAGTTCGAAGCGCGTATTCGTCCTTGCGGCCTTAATTTCGCAACACTCTCTTACGAGAATTTCGCTCGCGATGCATCAGCCTATATGGCTCTGCGTGGTCGGCGTGGTCTATAAATACGTACTACGAGCGATTTAAAAATGCAGTGACAGTAATAGCCAGCGCTGTCTTGTCAATCGCCGATAAAGATATTTTTCGCGCATCTCGTCTTTGGTCTTTAAAAGCTCGCGGAATCGTAAAGTGGCAGCGGGGCGAGACGAGGCGCGTCGTTCCGAAGGGGCGCGGCGAAAATCGAAACCAGGATTACCCCGAGGTACCGGGTATGTTGCAGGGTATATGTATATGCATATGCATAAACGCATCGCTGCACCGACATGGGGGACACGGGAAAGGCGATAGACGTCACGCTGTTTGCGGTAGCCAGCGGAACGGATGAATGCGAATCGAACGTAACGTTCACCCGACGCGACGTGTGAATGAAGCGACCGAGTAACGCGGATAGAAAACCCCCCCTCCCCCCCCCCACTTCAGGCTCGCCGCTGGAAAAAGCAGCGCGACTGTCGATCGATTGCGATCAACGCCGAGTTTGACGAGGGAGGGAAACACCCGGAGCTTTGTTCGAACTCTGCACCGTTCGCTCTCACCCTTGTGCGTACTCGAAATGCGTACGCGGTCTTAATTATCGAGACGAGCACGACTGGCGTGCTTCTTCGCAGAGAGGACGTAGCACGACGGTAGCACAGCGTGATAAAAAAAAGCACGTTGTCGAAGGAAATTTTTTGATTGCGGCAGATATGAACCTTTCGAAAGTCCGGCCCCCTTCCATTCGGGGCAAGCGGCAGCGGCGGCTGTCAACACATCCTGCATTAAATCGCGAAATCAAAAACACTCGCGATCGCTGCGAAACGAAAAGAACCGACGGATGCTTTACCAAACGTGTCGTGCGCAATTTATGAAACACAGCCCCTCGGCGTAAATCAACGCGACCTTTATTTTCACGCTAGCTTATCCAAACAGCCGATAGGCCCCGGCGCTTGTGCATCGCGGGGAAATGTTTTATCAAGTGCGGGCGCTTGAAAAGCACCTCCGAGAAATTTCTAACGGGTGCAGTCACCCCTCCCCCCCGAATAATGAGTTTGAAAATACGGTGCGAAATTCCCGTCTTGACCTACATGAGACAACAGATTGCAGACCGCATTATTTATATTTTGTCTCCAGAAAATTAAATAATTATTACTGAAAAATAACGTGGAAACTTTACATTACACAAAAGTTAATTATAGCAAAAAAGAGCAAAAGAACGCACGTATTTTATAAGTAAAATTAATATATATTACTTTAATTATTATTTTAACTATTTAATAGAATAAATAGATAATAAACGGGATAAATATATATAAAATTTATAAAA